GGAGAGCTGAGGCCCAAGTAACCTTTTTGTCCTGGGGGCTCCTCATACACCAATTTTGTAACAAGATGCTAAGTTCAATTTCTCTTTTCTGAACACACCTAAGTGGTCTCCGCCTCCGACAGAAGACCAAGGGGCACAGACTCAGTCTCAGGAGACGGGTCTGCCGTGATCTCTGCATCCTGACATTAGACCAATCGGCAGAGACTGGGACTCGGAGAAGGGCCAGCTCACCCCTTCATTCACTGCGGGAATGCACCAAGGTTGCTAGGACTGGGATGGTGCTAGGCTTCCCGCCACCTGGCCCATCCTCACTGTCGTGGCCAGCACGTGGTCCTGCGGTGCCACAAAATCACTGTGCCTAGAGGACGCTATGAGAGGAGGTGGAGAAGGCTGTCCAGGCCCACCGAGAGACAGGGAGAGCCACTGCTGTCTGTCCGGTGGTGGACACTGCCAGGTGGAGTATGGGAAGACAGGCGTCCAGACTCAGAGCTGCTCGTCAGGCCCTGGAGGACCCAGGTGCTGGAGGACACATTACAGAGACAAAATGCTGCAGGTGCCACAGGCACCAGGAAGGTGGGAGATCCTCCCTTGCTCTCCACGGCCCATTCATCCTCCCAAATACCGCAACGGCTGGTCCAATGGGCCCCGACAGGAGCTGCTGCCAGACATTCCTCAGCCGGGGTAGCAGCCTGCCGTTCTCCCTGGGATGCGCAGTTGCCTCACCGCACCTCTGGCAGGCAGGCTCCCGCAGCAGGAGGCCGAGAAGAGCCGGGCCAGCAGGAGCAGGGACACCACTTCTGCCTGTTGCCTCACACCTGCAGGTGGCTCCTGGAGGCGGACCTCAGACTGCTGCCCAGGCAGCTGCTGTCGGCTTGCAGTTCTGACCCACGATGGAAAAGCCTTGGGAGGCGGAGAAGCAGGCGCATCTGTGTTCCCCGGCTTCCACGGGAGGACATTGATGCATTCCCATGACCCCACAGGTGAAGTGAATAGGATTCCAGCCCTGCATGGACCTGCCACTGTGCTGCCAGCACCTCTAGGACCAGAAGCATCTCAGACCCTGAGCTGGGGTTAGGGTGGCTCCTGACCTGTCACCCCCAGGTGCCTCATGGAAGAGAAAGATGTAGAGGGCGGAGAGATCGTCTTTGGAAGTCCATCTCTGTTGAGAGCCACAACCAAGTCAAGATGGCGCCTGGCATTTTGCCAGAAGGAGTGGTTGCGGGGTAGCACCAGCGAGCCATTAAGATGATGATAATTAAGTTAAGCTGTGTATAATTATTAAGATAATGACTGATTGCTGTAACTGGATGATGCTAAATTGAAACAAGCTGTGTATTCAGTTGTGTATATAAACCTCTGCTGTCCGGCAATAAGGAGGCTCCTACTACCTCAGGTGCCCGCTACTTTTGAGTTCTCGCGATGTTCCCGTTGAGTTCCCATGGAGTTCTCACGGAGTTCCCGTTGAGTTCTCGTGGGTTCTGGAATAAAGTTCATTCCTGCTTGAATCTACAAGTGGCTCGTGACCTCCCGGTTATTTGTGCCCAGCCAGACTGCAGCACATCTCTCCAAATCACCATCCTCTTCTTCAAATTAACCCTTTGAGTTGCCCCTTTAAAATTCACATTCCATCTGAAACATCCCAGGAACAGCCCTGGGCCTAGAAAGGAGAGCCACACGGGAGCAGCTAGACACGGGGAGCAGCACAGATCAGCAAGAGGCCACTAGGCCAGATGGTCACTGAAGCTGGGTCTCTCCACAATCACCTAAAACTCAAGTCACCCTAAAGGAAGGACAAGGCAACCACGTAAGTCAGGGAAAACCCTAGAAACTTCTCATTACCTGTAGATAAAGGACGAGCAGAGGCGGCTCTAGGCACTCTGTCTGAGATTCCGTGGAGCACGGGGGAGGGGGGACACCAAAGCCCACGGGAAGAGAGAACAGTCAAGGAACGCAAGACTCATCTAAGGTGACCACAGGAAGAGGAATCCCACTCTGCAGGAAAGTCCTGCCTGAGAGCCTGGGACCAAAGGCAGGAGCCCCAGAAAAGCCCTGCGCCCTGCAGATTGGAAGCATGAGGAGGCACAGGTCCCGCAAGGCCAGGAGGACTGGACTCCAGGGCCCCACGTGGTCACCATGTTGCGGATGGAAGACCGAATCCCCAGAATTCAGGTGCGGAGTCCCGTGAGATGGTGTGAGCGGGGGTTAGCGTTAGACAAGGTCACGCCGAGGAGCCCTGTGTGATTGGTATGCTGGTGAGAAGAGGGTTGGGGCAGGAAGGCAGCCCCCATGGGAGACAAGCTGGCCAGGACTTTGATCACGGACCCCCCAGCATCCAGACTGAGAGAATGAAATCTCTGTGGTTCAAACTGCCCACAACGGCAGCCCACGCAGATGGGACAGTCACTTGGCTGTGCATTAGAGGGAGCAGACCTCGGCACCGTACTGGGTCCGTTGGGGCAGCACTCAGACCTCCAGACATCCGCCCCACCGTGAAGCCAACAGACAAGGTGGCTGTGCTTGCACTGAGCTACTCTAGGAAGTGACAAAATAAAGCAGAAGACACATTGGCCAATGCCACACACACACAAAGAAGAAGGTTGTAACAGCACCTCAAACTGAGCCAAAGGTGCCAAGATAAACACTAAGGGTGGTAAAAGGACATCTTAAGTGAGGAAATTTTTAAAACTAGGCGGAGAAACGAACAAGAAATAGAAAGAGAAACTGAGATGACTTCACTCACTTTTTTTTAGTTGAATATGAACACATTACCCTTGTTTGACTAATTTATTTACTTTAAGTGGTACTGAAGGACTACAGGGCCCCAAACCCAACGTTAGGAATTCTAACCCCTGTGCCCTACAGGATGTTCCCATGTACAACCCCCATGTCAAAACCCCACAAGCTGCACGTAGCACTTCCCAGCTGCACGTAACACTCCAAGCTCTATACAATGCCACCACCAGATGTTCCATATAGATAATCCTGGGAAGGCCAAGCTTGAGCAAATAGAGTAAAAACAGGAACTAAAAGAATAGGATGCAATTTATGGGTTTCTTTTCTGAGAACATAAAGTGAAAAAAAAAACAAGTTTACCCCCCAGGTGACCTAAGGGGCTGGACCTAGAGGAACTTAGATAAACCAATAGAATAACTGTTACTGTGCTAGGCTGAAACCTTGCCCCCTGCTTCCTATAAAAACTCTGTACCCCCGAGCCCAGGTGTGCCAGTCACCGAAGCTCCGGCTGAGGTTTTGCTGTGCACCCGCAGGAGCCTGTGTGAGAATAAACCCTCCTGCGGTTTGCATCCAGTGTCTCGCATGGTCCATTCCGGGTTGGGGGATCTGGGGGGTCTTTCAGTACTGAGGATTAAACCCAGTGCCTCATACCTGCTAGGTGAGTGCTCTACCACTGAGCCCCAGCCCCAGCCCTTTCAACCATTCTTTAACCTGCTTCTTTTGTATCTGGTAACTCTCGTGTGGGACACGGTTGACAGTACGTTGTAGAGGCCCTGCTTTCTGTAACCGTCTGCATGGGTGGACTCTTGCTTTACACTGAACCGTGTTCTCCCCAAAATGCACGAGTTGAAGTCCTAGCCCTCTGTGTCACTGTATTTGAGAGAGGGCCTTAGGAGACACTAGGGGTTGGGTGATATCAAGGGAGGGGCTAATTGAATAGGGCTGGTGTCCCTGTAGGAACAGGGAGACTGCGGAAGGGCTCCCACACACGTGCAGGTGAAGACACGGTGACAAGCTGCTGTCTACGTGCCAAGAAGAGCTCTCGCAGCACCTTGAGCTTGGACACCCAGCCTCCAGAACTGCAAGACAATGAACCTCTGTGGTGGGAGCCCGCAGTCTGCAGTACCCTTTCGGCAGCCGGAGCAGAGAGTACCATGTTCCACCAGAGAGCCCAAGTACAGGCTAAGCTCCTTGAACCTGTCCTTTGGGGGACAGATCCCAGGAAACTCACTTGCATCAAAATGCCCCTCATGTGTCCAAATTTGAGCCCTAAATGTCTCCTCTGGGTCATCTGGGACCTGGTTTGGGATTTAAGGCCATCTACAATGTGGGCCTGTGATGTCTAGCCAGAACCTAGCCCACTAAACCTAACTTCCTATGAGATTTTGAGCTGAGGCTGTAGCTCAGCGGTAGAGCACTTGCAGCATGTGTGAGGCCCTAGGTTCAATCTTCAGCACCACATAAAAATAAATAAAGGTATTGTGTCCAACTACAACTAAAAAATATTTTTTTTAAATCCCATAAGATTTTTAAATCCTGAAAATTGCTTTCAAAGTTAGGCTAAAGCCAGATTCATCGAGGTTTCTCCACTGTGATGGGGCTGCCCATCCCCAACCCCAGCCCAGCACCTCTTGACTGCAGGTTCCACCCTCCTGCCTGCCCCACCCGAGGCAGCTGCTCTCTGGAAAGCTTGGGTTATCTTGCCCCACATAAGAGGGGCCAACTAGCCCATAAAGGCCTGTCTCAGAACCACCCATCTTCCCTGCCTGTTCTGCTCTCCAGCCCCAGCACCCGCATGTGGGCAGGCAGCGATTGGCCGGTGGTGGGGTGAGAAAGGCTGTGCAGGTGAAGTCAGGGTGGTGGGAAGACCAGGCGGAGGAGGAGCCACATCCAGGGGGGCCTTGGGCACAACTACTGTGGGGTTTGAGTTCTGGACAATAGGGAGCCATGGACGAACACACAGAGGAGTGTGGACAGGTCTCCTTTTATTTGTGAGTCCTGCTGAGATTACGCCAGGACTCCTGTTCACCGGGCCCCAGCCTGGGGCTGCATCCAGCTCTCCAGGGCAGGACAGACTCTTCCAGGGGGAGGGGGATGCTTGGGGCCCACTGCCCTCGTAGCCTGAAAATTGCAGGGCTGGGTGGGTCCCTTGGGGGCAAAAGCCCAGGGCTGCCGTTCCCACGTGAGGCACATACTTGGCAGAGCAGGTGGGTCTCCAGCTGCTCCACCTGTCACACCCAGCCCCAGTCCCAGGAAAGACACTGGGCTGTGGGTTTGCCAGTGGGTTTATTTTGAAAGCTGGTGCAAGTGGCCCCTGGGGTGGGGCTCAGCCGCAGGACCAGGGCAGGAGCTCCTCTAAATCAGCTCCTGCACACAGAAGGGGGTGCTCAGGGCTCTGGGCCACTTCCAGGGTCCCGAGGAGGGGTGGGCCAGGGCTGGGGATCCGATCTCCCAATGGCCTGGCTTTGGCAAAAATCCAGTCCCTGAGCCTCAGTGCCTCTAGCCACAGGTGGGGTAGTAGTGCTGACCACTCGGGACTGGGCTGAGACAAGGTGGGACGCACAGATGGTGGGTCAGTGCAGAGCCAGACACAGGGCGCCACAAGTGGGTGCTTACAGTGCCCATGCCCCATCCCACACCCGGGCAGGGCCTGAAGGGGCAGAGCCACTGGCAGTCCTGCACAGCTATGATGGACAAACAGAGGAGATGGGACCACCCTCCTCTCTTCCCCCATCTCTCTCTCTGCCCCAAACCACCCTAGGGCCCCACTTGGCAGCTTGGGGTCACCACCATGTAGGTGCCAGCTCTCTCCAAACCATAAAATGGACACATCTCTGGAGGCCCCATCAGTGCTAGGTGTCCTGCTCAGAGGGTGAACGGCCCTCTCCTGCCCCGGAACTAGCACCAGGCGGCTCCCATCAGGGCTCCGCTGAGCCGGGGCTAGGGTCTTCAGTGCAGACCGAGGGGTGTGGGCTCACCTCCTTCAGGAGCTTGGCACACCTCCCTGTGAGACAGGGCAGTGTGAGGTGCAGGCAGGAGGCTGGCAGGCCCCACCCAGGGGCTCAGCCCCCTCAGCCCCGAGGGACCTGGACTCACTGTGCCGTGACACCAGGTAAAGGCCTGTGTCTGCTGTCAGCTCCCGGAACCTCCAGAACCCAGGCTCATCCTCCCTGTCGAGGCTCCGAGCTGTGGGGCCAGGGGATCTGGGCAGGCAGTCCCGGGGAGGGCGGGGCAGACCCCCCACCTGGGCAGAGCTTACTGAGGTACTTGAACACGTGGAACTCCTTGCCCTGCCATTGCAGGGACACTCTCAGGATGGCGTAGTGCTCGTAGTCTGTGTCCAGCACGTGGATCTCCCTGTGACCTGCAGGGCTCAGCAGGGTTGGGCAGCCTGAGGGGGTGACCTGGGAAGCCAGGCCTGCAGGGCCTAACTTCATCCTGTTCCTGACCAGCACTGGGACCCTCCCGGGATGCCCTGGGAGGCGGAAGCAGGCCCTGCAGGGTGACCCAGGGTGCTTAAGGGGAAGGAGGGCCTGCGCCCAAGGAGCCTGGGAACAGGCCCACGGAGCAGCAAGGCCAGGGGTTGCTGGGTGTGGGCAGGGCAGGACACTTACCAGGGAAGGCAAACTTCCCCACGTCTCTTCCTGAGCCCACCACTTTCTCTGTGGCGCAGCTTCCTGAGCTGGAAGGCAGCATGTGCTCCTCAGCCCCAGCCGCCTGCGCAGCCTCCCCCAACCCCAGCGCCCGCTGGCCTCACCCCCAGCAGGATGTGCTGCAGGAAGGGCTCCCGCAGAGTCCCTGGTCCTGAGCCCTCCAGCTGCGCCCACCTCTAAGCCCACTTTCTTATCACCTGGTGGGGCTTCATCAAACCCCATACTTATATTTGGGGAAAATGCCGATCTGGGAGTCTGGGGGTCAGCTTTCTCCGGAGCTAGAGTCCCGGCAGGGGCACAGGGAGGGAGGGCAGGCACACCCTGTGAGGGTCCTGCAGCCACCAGCCACCAGCCACACGCCCCCCACCGTCCCCTCAGCAGGGTGCCCTGGCCAAGTCTGGGCAGGGTCCCAGCCTCTCACTTGTTATATGCAGCCTTCACGGTCATGTTCCGGCCACTCAAGGTGATGAACAAGCCCTCCACCTTCATCCCAGCATCCAGGGCCATGTTGAATTCCGAGGCCAAACCAACTTCCCGCCAGAACCCTGAAATCTGGAGAGAAGAGCTGCAGCAGCCCTGGCTCTCAGAGGCCTAGCTGAGACTCCATCCCTGGACTCCAGGGTGCATTTCAGAGGCCGCAGGCACAGAGCTGGTGGCCAGAGACTCAGAGGCAAAACAGCAAGATGTCTCAGACCTGCTTGTCCCCACTAGAGTCATCCTTCTCAGAGGTCCCTTCAGACCATCAGGCAGTGATGCCCCTCCCACCTGGCCTTCTGGAGCAGCCGCAGGGCCAGCTTGAGGTGCCCCAAGAGAGCTGACCTCTGCTGCCTCCAGGCCTGGCGTGGGGGAGATGAGCAGGCCCTGGCTGCCCGCAGGGACTGGAGAGCAGAGGAGCATGTAGGACGCAGGCCCAAGTGGCTGGGCCTCTCACCAGGCTGGGCCAGCAGAAGAGACCCAGCCCTGCCGCCTCGCTGCGAGAGGGCCTTCCTGCCACCCAGAGCCCGAGGTGCCATCTGAAACTCGGAAAACGGCTGGTGTTACAGCAGTAAAGGACTTGTCTCTCTGACGTCTGTCCTTCTGAACATCCCCGCGTGTCTGGCCTGCAGGAGGAGGACCAGGACAGAAGCCCACAAGCTGCCCACCCAGGAGAGGGCCTCCTCTGGCCCCACCGCCACAGTGCAGAGGGCAGGGGTATAGAGGGAACCCTGTCAACCTGGGGGGCAGTCGGGGGCCACCTGGGACCCCAACCCTGAAAAACCTTGAGGACCAGCCAGCCTGGCTGAGGATGGCAGGCACCTGCTGTCACAGGGGCCCTCCGGAGGCCTCTGGAGAGGAAAGGCTGCAGAGCTCAGAGCCCCCACCAGGGCCCTTAGCTGTCTGCCCTCCTGGGACACTGACCAGGGCAGGTCCTGGGGGCCCTCAGGTAGCTGTGCCAGCACCAACCAGGTGTGAGGGGCCTGCGGTGGCTGAACACTCTCCGGCCCCTCTCTGCCCAGCTCTCCACTATCCCCCGCTGTCTGCCTGCAAGTCAGGAAGGAAAAGGCACCTTCTGCAGGTCTAGGTCCACCAAGGTGGACGCCACCCGCATCCACACCAGGAGCACGCTCAGGGTGGTGCCTGGCCGCCTGGCCGCCATCGCAGGCTCCGTCTCAGTGCCTCTCTCTCACAGGGCCTGGGCTTATATTTGGAGAGTGGGCCAGAGTGAGCAGCCACCCGGAGGATGTCATGGGCAAGTGTGGCTGCCAGCTGCCCCAGACTCCTGGCGGTCAGCACAGTGCCATCTGGTCCCGCTGACGCCCACACCAGGGAGGGGTTGGCCAGCAGCCAGCCTTGCCTGCCACCTTCCTGCCAAGACGTTGGTGGGTGTGGGGGGCTCTGAGGGCCTGACAGGAGGAGCAGGCCCCACCCACACCCAGGGGGCTCAGCCCACCCACCTCTGGGGACGCTGGGGTTTGTGGGTCTGGGGATAACAGAAGAAGCATGAAGGCCTAGGCCCTGGCTCAGCCCAGCCTGTGGCCTTCTGCAGCCAGTGGGTGAAACGCGAGGGTCCCGCCAGCCCAGCCCCAGGCATCAGCTCTTCCCCACCATGCCCGCGCCCCACATCCCCACACCCACCAATAACATACCTGTGCCAGACCGGGATGAGCAGACAGAAATGCAGGGCACCACACCGTGCCCCTTTAACCTGGGCAGGGGCAATGGACTCTCAGGGGAGAGGACTGGTGCCTCTGGACACTGACCCCTGGTCCCTGCCTCCTGCAACAGGAACCAGAGAGCGGGTTCGCCTCCATTTCCCGCTGTCAGGGACAGCTTCCATGGCTACCACGCAGAGCATTAACCGCACGAGAGGTGACACTCTCCTCCAGTGACGCCCTGCACCCCTGCACCCCCACCCTGGCCCTCTGCCTCCTCCTGACTGTGTCCAGCAAACCACCATCTAAGTCCTTGCACTTACCAAGAAAGAGTCTCTCAGGCCAGAGATTTCTTTAAGGCAACTTTTATTTTCAAAACAACTTTATTTGTGACACATATTTATAAAGAAAAACCCCTCACCCTCTGGAAAGAAATTAAAAAAATAACAAAAGCCTCCTTCTACCTTTTGGTTCCCACCTCTCCTGCTCCCTCCCAGTGAAAGGGGAGGTGAGACCAAGGTGGCCAAGGAGCACCCTGGCCATGCAGCCCTTCCCCCAGTGAGCTTGGGGAGGTGACAGACTCTGGGGCCAGGGCTCCAGCTCCCAGAGCCCCTCTCCGCAGAGGGCAGAGGGGCCTGAAAAGCTCAGCTCAAGAGGAGTCCTGGCCACTGAGACACACTCAGCAGGGGACCTGGCTGCTGTGGATACTGGCAGGTGCAGGGGTACAAGTTAGAACAGGGTGAGCAGAGCTGGCTAGCTCACTGGAGCCCAAGAGGGACACCCAAAGAGCAGGGACTGCAGCGGGGAGGCTGAAGATGGCTGACCCGGCCACAGGCTGGCTAGCCAGGGCTCCCAGGGTGGCTGCAGAGGGGCCGGGCAGGGGTGCCCCATTCTCCCTGTGAGTGCTGCCTTAGCCAGGAAGAACAGGGAGGGCGGCCCGAGGTGGAGCCCCTGGCCCTCCGGGTGAGCAGGAGCAGGATGTGGCTGATTGCCCCGGGGCTGATTGCTTCCGCTCCCGCTATTTGAGCGCCATTGGCAATGGTGAGCATCGGACCAGAACCTTCAGCTCCTTCCTGCTCCCCACGCTCAGGCCTTGAAGTGTGAGAGCTGGGGCCTCAGGAGAACTAGGCAGGGGTGCGGCAAGGACAATGGCAGTGATGGACCCTGGGAAGGGCATCCCCCGTACGCCACCTCTCGTCATAGGCAATGCAGAGGGCATGTCCTGCAGCTCCATCCCATGGATTTGAACCCTAATCTGGCCACTTGTCAGCTGTGTGACCTTGGATACCTTGCCCGGCCTCTCTGTGTGTGCCTGGATGTCTTGATCTGAGAAACAAGGATGGAATGGGGTGGGTACATGTGTCCAGGGGCCCTGTTATGGAGCAAGCAGGCCAGCTAGCCAGCTGAGATCCAGGAGTGTGCTGTTGTGCTGCTCATGGCACTGACCCATTTCTGAGGCTCTCAGAGGTTTAGGCCAGGTGCTCCCCATCACGACAGTGAGCAGTGAAACCCAAACAAGCCCAACTTCACGGTCTGCCGCCACGCCCACCCAGCTCCTGCTGCTGCCTGTGCACGCAGCACAGCCCATGGCCAGGGCCTGTGGTCACAGGGTGCCTGATCATCCCGTAGGCCCATGAACCGCAGGGCCGGGCAGAGGTGCCCCATTCTCCCTGTGAGTGCTGCCTTCCCATCTCCTCCCGCCTTGGGCCGCCAGCAGAGCAGGGCTGGAGATGGGCCTCCTGTGCCCTCCCCAGGATTCTCCAAAGAGTGAGGAGCCAAGAGGCTGCAGGATCTGTTTATTGGGTGGGAAGAGGCCCCGGATCAGGGGAGGCAGGGAGGGAGGATGAGGGACAGCTCTGGGTGGCCCGAGGGCGGTGGGCTCACTGCACGTCCACGCCTGGGGAGGTGAGGTTTGCTGCTGTGGCCTCGCCCTGTGAGGAAAGGCACAGCTGATCCTTCTCCCCCACACAAGGGGGCACTGCCCCCGAGGCCAGCACCCACAGGGCGAGGCACAGCTGATCCTGCCCCAAGCCTTCTGCCAACACAGAAGCCCACATCCCATCACCCCTCACTGTCCTGGAGGCCGCAGGCTAGAGGTCCCCGGGCACCACTGCTGCCTCCCAGTGCCTGGGGCCTGGCCCTGGACGAAGGGGCCAAGGAGACAAGAAGGCCTGAGTCCCCACCCCGTGTGTTCCCAAAGCCACCAGACAGTGACAGGCGACTCTGTGTTCAAGATGTCCAGCCCCAACGTCCCCAGCCCCAGGAGAGAAGCCACGAGCCCACCTGGAGCTCACCAGAGAAGAGTCAAGACACAGGAAATGGTGACAGCAGATGAGGACAAAATCAGGCTGTGGAGCTGGAAAACGCCCTCCGTGGATCCCCCACTCCAAGCCTCCCGGGTCCCCACCTGCCCGAGGCTATCACATCCCACCCACTACTTATGGCTTTAGGTGGGTGCCCCATCCTTCAGGAGCTTGAGCAAGGTGTGGCCATTTTCTGGCACCTGGTCTGAGGAGGCCTCCCCAACACCCCTCCTGCATCAGAGCCCCAGGTTCCCGGGACCCAGCCCTGCAGTGGGCAGGGAACGAGAGGTGTCAGGTCTGCCCTCAGAGAGAGGACAAAGACTCAGGCCATCCCACGGGGGGATGCAGGGAGCCCAGGGACTGTGGTGGGTAAGCAGTGTCCCCCAAAACCACCGCCTCCTGGAACCTCCACAAGGGGCCTTATCTGGGAACAGTTCTTTGAAAATAGCATTAGTTAAAGATCTGGAGATCATCCTGAAGATAGGGTGGGCCCTAAATCCAACAATGTCCTCATAAGAAGGGGGCAGCCAGGTGCAGTGGCTCAAGCCTGTAATCCCAGCAGCTCAGGAGGCTGAGGCAAGAGGATCACAAATTCAAGGCCAGCCTCAGCAACTTAGCAAGGTCCTATGCAACTTAAAAATATTCTGTCTTGGGGCTGGGGATGTGGCTCAAGCGGTAGCGCGCTCGCCTGGCATGCATGTGGCCCGGGTTCGATCCTCAGCAGCAATACAAACAAAGATGTTGTGTCCACCGAGAACTAAAAAATAAATATTAAAGTTCTCTCTCTCTCTCTTTAAAATATAAAGTAATATTTCAAAAAAAATCCTGTCTCAAAATAAAAAGGGCTAGGGAGTGATTCAGGGATTAACTGCCCCTGGATTCAAATCCCAGTGTTGGAGGGGAAAAAAAAAAAAAGGAGGAGGAGAAACAAGTGGAAGAGGAATAAGAGGAGGAAGAAGAAGGAAGAGGAGAAGGAAATCTCAACCATCGATGCCCAGAATTACAGGAGCCACAGGAAGGGGCAGCAGGTGGGCAGGCTCCCCTCAAGCCTCCAGAGGGCCCACCCCACAGACACCTTGACTCTGGCCTCCAGGACTGGAGCTTGTCCTGTTTAAGCCACCATGTGGGTGCTGTCTCGGCAGCCCCCGCAATCAGGACAGGCTCCCTGAGGGGACCCTGAGGCCTGAGGCCCAGGACTCCCCAGGCAGAAGTGGGTGAGAGGAAGTGAGGACGAGGGGCAGCCTGTGGAGGGCCTGGAGAACTCACCCTGTCCCCTGTCTCGGCAGGGCTGGGATGGGACTCCGGGGTGGCCAAGGTGCTCCCCTGAGATGGGGAGCAAGCATCTGCAGGAGCAAGCAGTCCAAGAGGTGGAGACAGGAAGGCTGCCCTCCCTCCACATCCTACCTGGCCCCCAGCCCCCCGACAGGGGGCCAGAAGACCCTCCCTACCTCTCCTTGCTCCTGTTGGGGGAGGAAGGGGCTATGGGGCAGGAGGGGCTGGAAGGGCTGCCACACAGCGTATTAGAGAAGACCACCTGCTGCCCACCCCAGGGCTCAGGACTGGGCACTGGGGTGAGGCTTGGCCAGGTACCTGACTTGGGCAGCATGACCATCATGTCATCCTGGAGCCCCACTGTGGGGTAGAAGTCCTGGAAGGCCTTCAGAGCCTGGGGGATGGCATCCTGAGCCCGACCTGGGGCACGGAGGGGTAGCTGTGAGCCCAGCAGCTCCCAGGACCGTGGAAGGCGAGACCTGCCTCACTCCACTTCTTTGAGAGCGGACAGCAAGGCTGCCACCCTAGGTGGGGCCGGGAGGCTGACCAGGGAAGGTGGGTCCTCACCCTGGAGAGGGGCACATGTTGTGTCTGCCCTCGGGGACCTCTCCAGCCAGCCCCCTCCCCATCCTAAGTGCTGTTGGTCCCCGGGCCCCCTGGTCCTTGGCGGGTCCAGGCTGTGATTAGTGGGGGGCTGAAGCAGAAGGGGTGGGCCTGGGTCAGGGTGGGTGGGGCTGGCCCTGAGCTGGCCTGAAAGGGCAGGTGGGAGGGGGCTCACTGTAGAGCTGCACCATGGTGCTGAGAGCCCCCTCCAGCTCCTTGTAGATGTAGACCACCGCAAAGGAGCCATAGTCCGTGTCCGCCACACGCACATCCAGGTAGCCCAAGGCTGTGGAGAAGGTGCACATAGCCTTAGAAGCAGGGCAGGGCTGGGCGACAACTCCCCCTGACCAGCCCACCCTGCTGCCCTAAGACCCAGCAGGTATCCTGGCCAAGCCCCACCTCAGCCATCCTGGAGGGGGCGGGGCAGGGGGGCCTCAGTGCAAAGACAATCTGTGTCACCCCTGGGGAGCAATCCCAGTGCCCCCAGGACATACCTGGAACTCTGAAGTGGCCCTCGGAGCCCACCTTCAGGAACGTGGCATCCACCTGGGCACAGCCATCAGCCCTGGGTGCATAGATGGTCACTACCTGCCAGGCACCCTTGGGTCCTCCCTCGCCCAGCCTACCCCAGGCAGCTCACCGTGGGAATTCCATGTGGACGTTGAGACAGCCCCCCTTGGTGGCATTGATGTCCCTGGTGGACATCAGCAGATGATCCTTCTTGCCCAAGAACACCTTGCAGTCAGACACCATGGAGACAACATACCAGAGGCCCGAGAACTGCAGGACAGCTCAGTGACCAGCAGGCCTGACAGCAGCAGCCATACTGCCTTGCCCAGGGAGCAGGGAGACAAATGAAAAGCCAGAGAAGCAGGGACCTGCCTGAAGGTGGACAAGAGCTCTTGCTGCCCCCTTATGAGATGGGCCTGCAAAGGCCCTCAGCCCAGGGTTGTTTCTGGATTAGAGGGAAAGTAGGTCTGAAGCATGCCCTAGGCAGACCCACAACTGGCCCTGCCACGGCAGCTTCTATTCTCACTGGTGATGTTTCCAGGGGGATCAGCCCCCACCCCACCCAGGCACACCCAGAGGAGACCCAATACCTTTTTGGCATCAAAGTCAGGTTGAACCAGGACCTCGGCGAGAGTTGCGGACACCCAGAGCAGCAGAACCCAGCTCAGCAGGACCAGCCTCATCCTCAGGCCTGACCTCCAGCCCTGGCCCCCAGTCTCCAAGCCCCAGAAACCCTGGCTTTATACCCTAGCCCAGCCCTGGGCTCAGGAAGGGGCAGATGGGGAGTGAGCGGAAGGCTCTATGAAATGCCAGCCCCCTTTGTCCATTGTTGGGCACAATCACTTGGCTGTCCCCTCAGCCCCAGGGTCACTTCCTGCAGGGCTCCAGACATCCAGGCTCTCGCCTGACGCACCAGCTGAGGATTTGTCCCCAAGCCTGCCAGGCACGTCACTACCCCATGGCCCACCATAGCTGGCCACCCAGCCATGGCAGAGCTATCATGGCTTCCAGCCTCACACTCAAGCACCTCTGTCCACCCCCAGCCTGGCTGGGAGTTTGGGGGGCTGCTGGGAAGCATGAGGCCTGGGTCTGCTGGGGCCAGCAGGCCCCCATCCAGGGTTCCGGGTACCCAGCAGACCTTTCTCCCTCTCATCCCCAACTCAGTGCTTAGTCACCACTGGCCAGGCCTCTAGAGACCTCATCCAGGGGTAGCCTTTGCCAGCACAGTGGTGAGAGATATCTGGGCGCCCCCTTGCACCCCACAGCTGGGCTTCCTGAAAGCATGCCTGAGATAGGAGGAGGGATTAGGGTGGATTACGTATCCACAGCTGCCTTATCACCAGTTTCATAAGTGTCCAGGTGGAAGGACGCCTAGGAGGCGCCAGGGCTGGTGGAGGTGGAGCTGAGGAAGGCCTCTCCAGCTGACCTTTGTGTCAACACAGAGCACCAGGGACCCCAGACCAGGAGCAGCGCATGGCCTTGGTACACCCCACTTGGATTCTCAAGTCAGAGACCAGGGTCCACTCTGGAGGCCAGGTCAGAGAAAGACCCTCAGGCAGGTGCAGCCTGAGAACTGCTGTTCTGCACACCATGGAGTCACTAGGGCAGGCGCAGCCTGAGAGCTGCTCTTCTGTACACCATGGAGTCACTCAGGGCAGGCGCAGACTGAGAGCTTCTGTCCTGTCCACCATGGAGTCACTAGGGCAGGCACAGCCTGAGGACTGCTGTTCTGCACACCATGGAGTCACTCAGGGCAGGCGCAGCCAGAAGATTGCTATTCTGTACACCATGGAGTCACTCAGGGCAGGTACAGCCTGAGAGCTGCTGTTCTACACACCATGGAGTCACCAGGGCAGGCGCAGCCTGAGGACTGCTGCTCTGTACACCATGGAGTCACTCAGGGCAGGTGCAGCCTGAGAGCTGCTATTCTGCACACCATGGAGTCACCAGGGCAGGCGCAGCCTGAGAGCTGCTATTCTGCACACCATGGAGTCACTCAGGGCAGGTGCAGCCTGAGGACCGCTGTCCTACATACCATGGAGTCACTAGGGCAGGCACAGCCTGAGGACTGCTGTTCTACACACCATGGAGTCACTCAGAGCAGGCGCAGCCTGAGGTCAGCTGTTCTGTACACCATGGAGTCACTAAGGGTAGGCGCAGCCTGAGGACAGCTATTGTACACTCCATGGAGTCATTCAGGGCAGGCACTGAGAGCTGCTGTCCTGTCCACCATGGAGTCACTCAGGGCAGGGAACAGCCTGAGGACTGCTGTCCTGCCCACCATGGAGTCACTCAGGGCAGGCTGACCCTGAGACAACTTCCAGAGCCCATGTGGGAGGGAGGTATTGCCCCTGGAGCATGTAGACTGAGAGGGACCTGGCATAGGGGACCTTCCACACCCAGCCCCCCCAGTCCCAGCACAGCCACATCCCCAAAGGCCCCCTCCTGGGCCAAATCTGAGGGTTTGATTGTGAAAGGCAAGGAGGGGGCACCCATATAGGGGTCCAGGGAAGTCCAGGGGCTCAGCCATGGACAGCCTCCACTGACCAGCTGTCCCAGAGGAGAGAACCTGAGGAAAAGGGCAGAGAGGGGGGGTGGAGGACAGGTGCAGGGTGAGGACGGGCTCCGCAGAGAGGAGGGGAGATGAATGCAGGGGCAGAAGGGAGCAGTGCTGTGCCCAGGAGCCCAGGAGCCCTGCTCCCAGCTGCCTGGAAATGGCAGGGCTGGACACACCAAGGTGGAGCCCCAGGCTAACCTACAGCCAGAGGGGTGGGTCCCTTCAGGCATCCCTAAAGGGATCCACCTCAGAAGCCATGAGATCCCTCACCCCCAAATCCCTCTCCCCATTCCACCTCTTCTGAAGAATCTGGGAGGGCTTCTCCTGACTTTACCTGTAAGAGGGAAAGTGGCAGTAGCCACCCTCGCCACCCACCCTCCCTCACCGTGGGCCTGCTGGGGTGGGCCTCACCCTGCAGAGAGGCCAGCCTCTCCCACACAGTGTCCCATGTCTGCTTCCACTTTTTGGCTGGACACAGGGTTCACTTGACCAAGGCATGTCAGGGAGGCCTTGGGGTCAGGCAGGGATGGGGTCCAGAACCAACCCCTGGTGCTTCAGGGTGCCCAGTTAGGGAGATGGGGCTGAAGAAAAATGGAGAGACCGGGGTTCTGTTCCACCCAGTTCTGGGCCCAGCGATATAACCTGCCTTCAAGGAGCCAGTATGTAAGAACTGCCCCTTCCTACAGGAGAGCCAGGAGCCAAGCCCCCACCGGCAGCCAGAGGTGAGCTGGTGATCAAGGCCATCCTAGAAGGTAGTTGGTGGGGCAGCTCAAGGTGGAGAGGGAGCCTTGAGCCCAGACAAGGGAAGGAAAGCCCTGGAGCCCCCTTTGATCCAGGTTGGGTTCCTAAGATGCAACCCTAGGAAGCCTGCAGCTTCCTGGCCAACCATGCCCAGTCCTCAGAGCGATGAAGGACTCAGCCCAGAAAGGGAAGGGCAGGGGCTCTGGCTCTAGGGGCCAGGCTGCCATCCTATGTCTCTGGTGGGAAAGGTCCCAAGGAGGGTGCAGCCTCATTGGGGAGTCTCCCTGACCTGAGACTCCCACAAAGCCTTGAGCTTGGTTATCCTGCATTTGTGGGCTGTGGGGAGCCCTGTACAGGTGAACCCACAGAAAGAACCAGAGCCCAAGGAGACCCTGAAGGGGGAACTCACCCCCACTCACCAGCCCAATCTAGGGACTCTGAGCTGTCCTGATGTGTCCTGACTCTGATAGGAGCTGTCAGGTTGTGCTGGGGTCTGCAGCAGAGGGGCTGGCATCAGCCATGCCAGGGGGGCTGCGGGGTGTCAGGGAGGGTAAGCATCTGTGGAAGGGGTGCTAAAGAGGAGAAAAACACCCATGTTTCCTCCAGTGGGAGAAGCTGGGGTCACGCTCTGCCAGAGATGGGAAAGGCCTCCAGCCCCCACCTCCTGGCCCCACCTGATGACCAGCTGGGGGGTGGGGCCAGGTCCATATGGACCACTCCCTGGACTAGACTTCAAGGTGCCTGGCCCCCCTACTTGACTCCTGTCCCTGGAGCATACCCTGGGTACAGGCAACTCCGGCTACCTGCCCTGCAGCACCAGGGCTCCCTTGGCTGCAAGGAAGTGGCGGCTCAGTCTGCCTCCCATGGCCGCTGACCATAGTCTGCAACGTGGATTGGCTGTGAGTAGGGAGCCCAGACATGTGGGTCCCCAGAGGTCCACTCACGGCAGCAGCCCTCAGGATGGCCGAAAGTGGGAAAACTGTGAGATGATGGTCTGGCCAGCACCTCCCCACAGAAGAACCTTGAGTGTCACACTCCTCACAACTGAAACCCTCAGGGTCACTCCAGGTCACTCCTGGGCTGCACGAAATACCACACAAGAGACAGAGACACCTTTTTTCTTTGGTGTCCTGTGACGGCTCCTCTGACCTTAAGGGTCTGCAGAAGGAGAGAGAGAAAGAGAGACCAAGAGAGAGGAGCGCATGCTGAGTCTTTTTATTGGGGAGAAGCCATTCAAATGAGGCAAGGGGTCAGGTGTCAGGGGGCTCAGTCTAGCTCTGGGATGTCTGCTGTCAGCAGGTTGACTGACAAGTAGGAGGCCACGCCCAAAGGCAGAGCAAGAGAAGGGGACACACAAAGGGTGTTTCCATGGAATATTCCATCCCAAACAGGACAAAGGGGTAGTATCAGAAAGAAACAGGTGAGCATAGCTCAATCCATGAGGTGACACACCTACGTCTGAAAACCCGTCCTCAACCTGCGGGACGGGGGCAATGTCCAGGTCACTACAAGATGTAGTGATGGTCAGAGCCTCTGCACTCCGGGACGGAGAATGAGAATCATTCAGACTGGCTGCCCACACCTGAGCATTCCTGGAGCAGAACCTTGACCTCTGTCTGGGGAGGGGGCGGGTGGTAGAACTCGTGGGGTTATGATCTATGCATCAAAACCTCGTCACACTGGGGTCACTAGAGCCTGTGGAGCGTCTCTGCACTCCCCTGCACCACCGGCCTCCTCCTCTCCCCAGCCCCTTCTAGTTAGGGAGAAAGGAGCAGGGTCTGGACTTCTGCCCTTGAGTCCTTGTTCCCAGGGCCCCAGACTCATGCCCACAAGCTGTCCTGCCACCCCACAAGTTTTCCAACGAGGAATGAAGGCTCTGTAGATTTCTTCCAGAACTGGGAATCCTATAAAGAGGCTTTGGTAACCAGGCACCAAGTTCTGGGGGTGCTTATGACAGGGGGTAAGACAGTGGCCCTGGGCCAGAACCAGGCTTCCCCCGAGATGGGGCCACCTACCAGGCCCTGCCTGCACCAGGCCTGGGCCT